ACCATGTGTGAGCTAATTAAATGACATCATAAAACAGGGAGATAAACGCAGGCGGCAGGGAGCCCGCCTAGGGATGGGGATGGGATCAGATGGGTGGCAGAAATAAAGTCATGCCAGGAGAAAAGTTGGGAGTGAGCATCCTCAGCCTCATGATCACTTAGGAGCGTCCCCAGCAGCAAGTGAGGGGTGAGAGGAAGGAGGGATGGAAGATGGAGAAAAGCTCCAGCAGGCCCAAAGGAAGCAAGGGGACCCTCACAAACGTGGACCTCCCCACAGCCCCCATAGCCACTCCCCATAGGAGTGAATCCTGGTGCATCCTCTCATAAAGATTCTTACATATAACAGTTAAACTGCTGTGCATTTAAATGCATAGTCCTATGTAGAGATACACACACAGAGTCTCCTATACACAAACATTCTAAACAGGGTAGTCCTCCTCCAACTCATCTCATAACTGAGTTAGGTGTCTTCTACTCAAACCCAGGAATTTGTAAGCCATGACCTTAGGGATTTCCTGTAGCCCTTTAAAAAACCTCTGGTTTTATGATCTCTGCACACACTGAGAGCATTTTAAAGTGATACATGGTTACTGATTCATCAAAACAGGGGTGCATTGCGAATGTCACCAAGATGATGGACACATGGAGAAAATAAAATCGTTCTTATCTGGCCACACGACCCAGAGCTCTGCTGCTTGTAGTGGAACGGATGAAGGCTACAACGGGTGACGTCACTTGTCCCAGACGATTACTCCAGCAAGCAAGGGACAGGAACTCACAGAATTCCTGGAATAAATTTTAGATTTATGTGTAGATCTTACAGGAAAACTGACGGTGAGTCTCAGGAACTCCTTCCGCCCTCACCCTCTTCCATCCCTGGCCCATCCACCCAAACATCTCTTCTCACTCCTCCCCGCAGGCTCATATCCCATCCAGAAAAGGTCAACTGGCAGTTCAATTTCTCATCCCCATTCCCCTTCCCAAAGATGTTAGTGTTGGAAGGAAAAGTTGGGACTGGGGGGAAAGGCCCAGATCTGTAAGACAAATTCAGGCAACCTGCCATTTGTTCATTGATTCATTCACTCACACACTAATTCAGCAAACAGTTATTAAGGGCCTTCTACGTACCAAGCACAGACTAGGAACTGAGGATATGAAAAGGAATGACCCTAGCCCTGGTCTTAAGGAATACACATCTCCTTGGGCAAGGCTATTTTCCCCAGCAATCCCAAAAGAATCCTGATCTCCTGTACCACTAGCCTCGACTTTCACCATTCCCCAATGAGTTATTTTTTCTGATGAGTCGCAGAAAACTGGAGCCCTGAATCACTGGCAATAGAGGAGGTAATCGCCCTGGACACCTAGGTTCCTTGCCTGGCTCCACCCTGACTCCTTGAGCAGTTCTGGACAAGTCACGGACTCAGTTTCTCTACCTGGGAAGCGGGGGAGGCTCCCACTGACTGGTTCTCAACTTCAAGAGCAGCTTGGTGATTAATGGGTTAATGTCCGTGGGAGGCTTTGAGCTCCTGGGATGAAAGACACTCTAAAGCCCTGACTCTATTGGAAACTCTGCCCAGCCAACAAGATACCCTGAAACCAGAAAGGGGGCCTTTGATCATATTTAAGGGTTGTCTTTGGAAGAATGAACTAGAGGGAATGAGTTAAAACAGCAGCAGAAATTAAGGTAGCCTGAAAAAAGGACTTTCTGGCTCCTGGGTGGAGTCTCTTCTCTGGAGTTGTTTACAAATCTTTCACCTGCCTATGTAGAGGGGGCTCTGGATCATTGTAGAAGCTCCTTTTGGAAATCTTACAATCAACTCCATGTTAGGTACCGTCCCACAAATACTTTATCCTTAAGTGGATTTCCCCACCATTAGCAAGAATCAAGCCACTTCCCCCACGGCACAAGATGGCAGTAAGCATAAAGAAGGACAGTCTATTCAAATATTTAACACAATTTTTAAACAATTATTTAACAAAATTAAATGTACTTAAATTTTTGTTATATAATTTATCTAAAATCTATCAAGTATTCCTTATCAAGACAAAGTGTAAATATTAAGATTAAAACTGGGTTTATGGAGTCAGGCTGGAGTTCAAATACTGGCTCTGCCATTTACCAGTTATATAACTTCTAGCAGGTTGCTGAATTACATATTTTATAATCTAAACATATAAAGCATTTAATTAGGTCATTTATGTAAAGTGCATAACAAAATGCCTGCTTCATACTAAGATCTCATTAAATGTTACCTATTATATCCATCACTCATTCACCATTTGTTCAGAAAGTATCTGTACCATTCTTTCCCTCCACCAATCATGGTATGTATGTGGACATGTGTTTCTTATTTCTAATAGACATTTACTCATGCCCTGCAATGTGCTATACACTGTGCTAGAAGGTGATGAACTGGACAGCGTACCCTTCAGAGGAGCTCATTACAGTGATCTGAATGTACCAAGACAGCTCCTGCTTCTCCTTAGACACGAGGAGCCATCCAAACCATCTCTTTCCATACACCTGGGTTAAATGGTAACTTCTCAAAAATGACAAAATCCTAAACCACGATTTCCATCCAGAAGGAAACTCCCACCCCAACCCCTGCTCCATTTTTACCAACCACATGGCTGCCCCAGACCATAAGTGTATTCACCCAGCTGCACACACACCCCACGCAGCACAAATCACACCTGCCACACCCTCAACCATGATAGTGAAAAAAGGACTGCAGTGAAAAATCCCTCCAGTGTCTGCACTAGCCCCCTGCTCATCCCTCTCCACCCCAATCCCACCATCCCAGCTTAAGGGCACGAAATACATTATGACCCTGGGCCTTCGTTTACATGTAACAAACAGAGGTCAATTTATTTCTAAATCACTTTTTTTATGGCTCTATTGAACTATTTGCCACATTATTTATACGTTAATGGGCCAGGCCCCTCTGGGAAGCTCCCCATCTAATAAATAACGTGCCAAATCATTAAGCAAGGTGATAAAATCAAAGCCATTTAAAAATACATCAACCTGCGTTCCCTTCCAGTGAAATAAGCTCCAGGGGACCAGGGAAGGGAAAGGGGAAAAAGAAAACTACTTTCTATTACTGAGTTTGGTCAGGTGTAGGGTGCTTTTTTTTTTTTTTTTTTTTTTTTTAACTGGGCTTGAGATGAAAATCAGAGCTGGGAGATGTAGATAACCTGGCTGCTTACCCATATCCCCAGCAGCTAGGGGAGAGGAAGTGAATTGGTATTACAGTAAGGATGGTTCCATGTCAGCTTCAGGCAAGAGGAAACAGGGCATCAGATTCTACTTCCCTCCTGCCACTTAGGAGTATTTGGGGTAGACATAGAAGCCCAACTGGGCAAATAAAGTTATGTCCTCTGGCTGGGCACTCGGGAGTTCAAAAGAAAATCCACTAGAGGCCTTCACCTTGCTACCTATATCCCATCACTATAATTCTCTCTTATGAATTTCAGTATTTATAATTAATCTGAGTCACAGAGAAGAACATTAATAATGATGATTACTCCAGCTTCCCTCCATTCCCCACCCCTAACCCCAAAGGGCTTACCACACCTTTTCACCATCAACCCATTCAGAAAATCCATGCATAGCTAGCACAGCAGTGGTGAGAATACGTGGGCTGGAAGACCTGCTTTTGAGGCCCCTATACAACCCTCCAGTGATTCTGAGAGAAGGAAATGGGAGCCCATCAGTCCATCCCTATCCTGAAGCTCCCTGTGGGTAAATGCCAGCCTTAGATGCTAGAAGGAATGACCCAGATAGATCATATCATGGTTGATGGGAAAGTCAAAACCCACTCCTCAGGACTCTAAGCAGCAATACAAATGAGGAAGTACAAACCGAGTGTCTAAGCAGAGAGGGCACCTAGAGCAAATAAATTATCTGTTGGATAGGGAAGAGTTAAACATGTAAGTTGAGCCAAGTGTGGAGGCTTACGCCTTTAATCCCAGTACTTTGGGATCACTTGAATCTAGGAAGTCAAGACCAGCCTAGGCAACATAGGGAGACCTTGTCTCTACAAAAAAGTTCTTTTTTTTTTTAAGATGGAGTCTCACTTTGTGGCCCAGGCTGGAGTGCAGTGGTGCAATCTTGGCTCACCACAGTCTCCGCTTCCTGGGTTCAAGCGATTCTCCTGTCTCAGCCTCCTGAGTAGCTGGGATTATATGCACGTGCCACCACACCTGGCTAATTATTGTATTTTTGGTAGAGATAAGGTTTCACCATGTTGGTCAGGCTGGTCTCAAACTCTTGACCTCGTGATCCGCCTGCCTCAGCCTCCCAAAGTGCTGGGATTATAGGCGCCAGGCCCAGAAAATTATAAAATTAGCTGGAAGTGGTGGTGCATGCCTGTTTTCTCAGCTCCTCAGGAGGTTGAGGTGAGAGGATTGCTTGATCCTCAAGTCAAGGCTGCAGGAGATTGTACCACTGCACTCCAGCCTGGGCAACAGAGCCAGACCCTGTCTCAAAACCAAAAACAATGTAAACCTTAAGCAAATAAACCAAACGTTTAATTCAATCCTAATAGGAGCCTTGAAAGGTAATTTACAGATTCAAAGAAACCAAAAATTTAATCAAGACCACATGCATGTAAGTAGAGGGCCAGGGTTTGATTCTAGGTCTTTTTGTTGACAAAAAGCTGTATTATTTTATTAAATCATCATGTAAAGGAGCAGACATGAGCTTTGAGTTGAGTTACAAAGAAAGAGACACATATGGATAAACTAAGAGAGGAGGGGAAATATGATTTGCCAAATAAAATACAGGACATCCATGCCCGAATGTTTCATGGAACATATACTAAAACTTACTTCTTTATATGAAATTCAAATCTACCTAGCATCCTGTATTTTTATTTCCCAAATCTGTAGCTCTTAAAGCAAGCAACTCTTAAGCCTTAAAGCAAGGCAAATGGCCTGGGTAAAAGCTCAAAAGAACAGGAAAACAAGGCTTGCGGGGAGGATGAAATGTATGTTTACCTGGTTGGTGCAGATAGTTTCAGAGTGGGAAGTTGAAACACAGGAAGATGGACCGGGCGCCGTGGCTCATGCCTGTAATCCAGCACTTTGGGAGGCCGAGATGGACGGATCACTTGAGGTCAGGAGTTCAAGATCAGCCTGGTCAACATGGTGAAACCCAGTCTCTACTAAAAGTACAAAAATTAGCTGGGCGTGGGGGCACATGCCTGTAAATCCAGTTACTTGGGAGGCTAAGGCAGGAGAATCACTTGAACCCAGGAGGCAGAGGTTGCAGTGAGCTGAGATCGCACCACTGCACTCCAGCCTGGGCAACAGAGCCAGACTCTGTCTCAAAAAAACAAAAAAAAAGAAAAAAATATTGGAAGATGAAGTTCGCCATAGTCAGGGGCTAGAAAGTTCTTCCAGAATGGATGGTATAGACATGATGGGTAATAGAAATGCTTTGATTTTAAATTGTAAACTTGGGGAAGAGAACAATCAAGATTTCATATGATCACAGAATTTAGAATTACTTTATAACAACACCATGCCTTTTATTAGCATAGTGCTTTATAGTTTGCAAAACACTTTAACATTCATTATTTAATTGGAGACTCAGGTACCCTGCATGGTAAGCAAAATGGACACTTTCTGCCTCGGTTGACTCTGCTTCCACTCAGCCTATGAACTGGTCTCCATTCTTCCCTTGACTACCAATATCCTCAAATGCACTACCCTGATGAGTAGAGGTCCCTACTCCCAACCTCTACCACTGTCCTGAAACTGTTGTCACAAGGTCACCAGTGACATAGCCGAGGCTTCTTTTCATTCTTCATTCCACTTTCCCTCTCTTTAGTATTCAATGTTGTTGACAACCTACTCTATCTGTGTTGCTGTTCGTCTCTTGTTCTCCTACTTCCTGGATCACTTTTTCTCAGTCTTTTTCACTCTTCTCTTGTTCTATTCTCCTTCCCTTAAAGTGGCCGTAAAGTTTCCACTGGTTTTCTCCTTGGGTGCTTTTATCCATTCCATTTTCAAGCCCTGAATATGTGCTAATGATTCCCAAATCTACATCTCTTTCTAGATGAGAAATTTAAATTGCCTCCTAAACATTTTTCTATGTATAATTTCCATTCCAATTCATTCTCCTACTACCGACAGATCTAGCCATCTTATCCACTTGATGAATGCCATTACTTACCGGATAAGGTCCAATCCTACAGCCAGATTTGTCGGTAGTCACACAGTTACAGCAAAATCTTGTCTAGACCAGGAGGTTGGCAAACTTTCTCTGTAAAGGATCAAACAGCAAGGATTTTAGGCTTTGCAAGCAGCATTCAGTCTCTGTTGCATATTTATCTTTGTTGTTGCTGTTACTGTTTAATACAACCCTTTTTAAAATGTTACAACTATTCTTAGCTTAAGGGTTGTATAAAAACAATGTTGGGCTTTAGTTTGCCAACCCCTGGTCTAGCTAGCATCTGGACTCCTGATTCCCAATCTTGTTCTCTTTCCCTTGCTTGAAGAAGTTAAAAATTTATATTTACAGAGTATTTACAGCTTTAAAAAAATTCTTTCTTATACATTATTTTACTTGTTCTTGCTTCTTTGAATCCCCGTAGGACTTTATCTGTACCCCTCTCATAGTATATATTCCAGTTCATAACCTATTACTCTACATTCATTTTTTTGTTCTTTTTGCCTTTATACTGTTAGCATCTTTACTAATCTGCTAGAACCACTGTAACAAAGTACCACAAATTAAGTGGCTTAAATGACAGAAATTTACTGTCTCTTCATTCTGGAGGCTGGAAGTCCAAAATCACGGTATCAGCAGGGTTGATTCCTTCTGAGGGCTGTGAGGGAAAACCCATCCCATGCCTCTCCCCTAGCTTCTGGCGCTCTGCTGGCAATCTTTGTGTTTCTCGGTTTGTAGACGCATTACCTGGACCCTTGCTTTCATCTTCACATGCCATTCTCCCTGTCTTAAAAAAATTACGTCTCGTTCATTTTTGTATATTCCATAGCAACTAGCCCAATGCGTTATTCATAATAGATACTTTAAAATTAAAAACCTAGTTGTTTTATTTTGTTTTTAACTGCAATGGGAGAAATGAGGATGGGTCTGAAGATTAAACACTCACTCAGGTGGCTGGTGCTAGTTGGGCAGGTAATGACGCTGCTCTGGACTGTAACATTAGCCATGGGACAAGAAGAAATGGGAAGGAGGAGAGAAACCCCATAACACCAAGCTCTGTGCTTTGCCCACTGGGAGTTCCTTCTCTCCAAGAGATGAACTGCCTAAAGTTTTTCCAAGAGAAAACCCAAGCTGTCTAGGAGCTATAATTGCCCCCAGGGGTCCTAACAGCTTCACTTGAGTACCAGAGTCCTAGACCTGATTGAAATGGAATCAGAGAATCTTAACATGAGAATGGACCTTAGAGATTCAGCTTCCCATCAGAATGGCTATGGTCAACTCCAAGTTTTATGGGCTAACGTGGGAGGGCTGTGACACAGCTCTTGCCAAGTCTGTTTTTAAAAAATGAAAATTATTTATTTCAGACTTTTTAATGTAGCCTTTTTTGAAATGTTCCAAAAATGTGTGTCTGCCTTCAGAATTGTCTTAGAAATGATGTCTCATAAGTATATCTTGCGAGGGAATAAAGGAGAAGTCACTCTTGATTAGGAAAAGACATTGAATGAGAATTGACTCCATTATTCCTGCAGCTCACCTGAGACCTGGGGGTTAAGATAAAGTCATTTCATTTTAATATCAGGGCCTCAAAAATACTTGTTAATCCATCTATTAATCTACTCTTTTCATGGAGCTTTGCCCTTATATGTCTTCCTACCTTCTCTTTGCATTTAGAAGAAGCAAAGTATTCTAGACATTTGAGCTTGGGAATTCCAGAGGCACAGTTAACCAATAGCCTACAGCAGAAATCCTGAAGCATGGACACTTTCACCCTAAATACCTAGGGCTAATTCAATTAGTGGCCTCAATGGAATAAAAGTAGAGGAGACTCCTTCAGTGGCCGTCAACCAGTAGACATGATCAGAACCTGCAGTATGAGCTGGGCTCATACCCCGTGAGTCTAGAGTTGCCCTCCCTTTGCTTAGGATCAGTTCTTTGCACAAGGATCTCAAAGACACTCAAAACAATTGGGCCAGTTGGAACTCCCTTTTTTCTCCCAGAAAGAAACTGGACCACAGGTTTCAGTTTCTTCTTTTAAACAAACGTCATATCAAGTTAGGAAATAACTCTGATAGCTCATGACATTGGGAGTCAGAAAATGGTATAGAGAGGTAGGAAACACACTACAGAGCCTCACTGTGCAAGATGTGCTCATGGACAACAGCACTGGCACCGCGTGGGGGCTTACTAAACATGCAGAATTTCAGACCTCACCATACAGTCACTGAATCACAATGTGCACTTTAACAAGGCTTCAGCTGATTTGCATGCATATTAATGTTTCAATGCACTAATGAAGAGGATAAGGGTTTACTACTTAACAGTCGTGTGACCTTGAGCAAGTTATTTGACTTCTTCATAGCTCGGTTTCCTGATCTATAAAGTGGGAATGATAATAGTATCTCCTCATCCAAATGTTGTAAGACCTTAGTTAATGCATGAAAGGCTTAGAACAATGCCTGGCACTGGTAGGCATTCAGTGACTACTAGCTGTTATTACTATTATCTTTGATGCACTCCTCTGTGGTGAAAAGACAGACCTCAAAGTGGTAAGTGGGAGAAGCAGGGAAATACATGTTTGTGTGTGTGGTGGAGTGTAGAGAAGGGCACTGATAACAGTAGGAATTACGTCTTTTTTTTTTTTGAGGCAGAGTCTCACTCTGTCACCAGCTAGAGTGCAGTGGTGTGATCTAGGCTCACTGCAACCTCCTCCTTCTAAGTTCAAGTGATTCTCCTGCCCCAGCCTCCTGAGTAGCTGAGACTACAGGTGCTCCACCATGCCCAGCTAATTTTTAATATTTTTAATAGAGATGGGGTTTCACCATGTTGGGCAGGATGGTCTCAATCTCTTGACCTCATAATCCACCTGCCTACACCTCCCAAAATGCTGGGATTACAAGTGTGAGCCACCATGCCTGGCCTACTTCTTTAATTAGTAATGAAAAGTTTGGGGTACCCAGAACTCCAGGACAAGTGATTGGTCATTCATATCATAGATTTATTAACATATACCATTGGCAGACCCTCTGTTGGGGCTACAGATATAGTGGTAAACAAGCCAGACAAGCCCTCAGCCCAGAAGGTAGAGAAGATCTGTAATGTCCAGTAACACTAAAGGAAGTCAGGCCTATAGACAAACTGATCATGGGGCCTTGGAAATTTGGTTTGGCTCTCTCCACAGAGTTTATTAACCTGTAGTTGCTCTAATTCTCTTTCCTTCCACGTCTCAAAGGCAGCCAGCTAGGGCAGCTCTGCAGCTCCGGACCATCTGTGGAGCTGAATGTGGTATGACTAAGAGCTGGCTTAGAAGCTGAACCCTCAGCTTCACTTTGAGATGGGAAGATCCAGTAGGCCAGTTGTTCACACAGTCCTAGTTTTTGGGAACTGTCTTTCTAAAATGCAGATCTTATCTTGTTACTCCTCTGTTTAGAAACTTCTAATGGGGCTGGGCATGGTGGCTCACACCTGTAATCCCAGCACTTTGAAGGTCGAGGCAGGTGGATCACGAGGTCAGGAGATCGAGACCATCCTGGTCAACATGGTGAAACCCCATCTCTACTAAAAAAATTTTTTTTAATTAGCTGGGCGTGGTGGCGTGCACCTGTTATCCCAGCTACTTGAGAGGCTAAGGCAGGGGCATCGCTTGAACCAGGGAGTTGGAGGTTGCAGTAAGCTGAGATCGCACCACTGCACTCTAGCCTGGTGACAGAGGGAGACTACATCTCAAAAAATAACTTATAATGGTATACAAGGCCATTTACAACCTAGCCCGAAACTATTTGTGAAGATTAAGCAAATCAACAAATATGAGGGCCTAGAACAGTATGATATGAATATGAGCTGTTTTTGTTATTTTAAAAAATTATTATTAATATTTAAAAAAACAGGCTTTATCATGCCTCCATACCTTTAGTAATATAGTTCCTTCTCCCTGGAAATGCTAAATTCCTTCTCTGTGCTGCAAACTCCTAGCGTTCCTCAAAAGATCCAGTTTTTCAGGCTTCTGTACCCACAATAAGTCACCTCTTCTATGCATGTACTCATAGCACTCTAAATATTCTATACCACACTTATTCTAGTGCACTGAAAATACTGTTTGCAAACACTCTCCACCACTAGCCTGTGAACATCTCAGCAGTAAAGATCCTATCTGATTTACTCTATATCACCAGGACTGACTCTAACATATGAAACACAGCAGGTACTAAATGAGTGTTTGTTGAGTGAATAAATGGAGGTCTGACTGAATGATTAGATGCTTTCAGGAAAGGGCCTAGAATGGGAGTTCCAGAGAGAAGCAGGGTTGGGGAATGAGATAGTCCTACATCTTCTGCCCTGCATCCCCTACCTCCTCGGCAACAAAGCCAGCCACCAGCACAAGTTCCCAATTATACTAGGCCTGACTGCACCTCTCCGCCAAGAACACTCCCCAGTTCCCCCTCTTGCTATAGACACTCCACTCGCCTCTGCCTCTGGCAGTGACAGAAATGAAGAGGATTACATCATTTGTTACAACAAAATGGTTATTATAGTAATAAGTATAATTAGCATTAGACAATTACAATAATAACACATTTCCTTGCTGCAAAGGTACTTTTTTAACAAACAGGTTTATTTAATGCCCCCTATATTCCCCCCTTAAGAAAAAAGCAACTCTTTTCACGAAGAGCAGAGGTCTCTTTCATTCTGAGATGTTATCTTAATGAAGGAACATTACTGACAAACCCCATAAACTTGGAGCAGATTCCCTTGGAGTAAAAAATCTCTCTTGCTCTCCCTCTTGTTTCTCTGGGAAAAGAAAACCTGTGTCTCTCTTTCGAGGGAGTAGCAGAACTGGTTGAAGGATAGAAAAGATGGGACCAGGTAGAGGCAAAAAGAAAAATTTTCTCAGGCATCTAGAACTCAATATCCTGTTACTGACTCTCTCATCCTTTCTTCCTGCGTTGGACAGACCAGGAAGGGAAAACAAGGTATTCATTCATAGCGGTGAATGGGTGTCTTAGGTATTTTTCCAAGCTGTATGAGAGCAAGAAGTGCTTACAGTGAGATGGCACAAAGATCTAGGAGGAGATCGAACATGGATAATAAAGAAGGCA